ACAGGCAGAAGGAACGCTGAGCCTGGTAAACCCGCCGCTACGCTACACTGACGATTTCACATTGATTGTTGATGGAACCTCTGCAGCGAAATTGCCAGGTTTTGCGAACAACTTTCAGCAACTGAGCAACATTTGTTACCAACCTCCTGCCACCAAACAAGAGAACGGAGGCAAGATGTGACCGTCGAAATAGGCGTGATATTCGTGCAGGAAATAGGTTTCAGGCCTCTCCTAAGCCAGGAGGAATTACAGTAGAGCAGTGCAGAATATAAACAAGGCACGGAAAATGGACGACAGTTCGATCAACTAACGAATCCTCGCCGAACATCTGATCAGCTATCGGTCATGCGGAAGAGGCAAAATACCGAAAGAAGGATGCGTGGCTATAAATATCGATTGCAGTCATCGCAGACATTTCTGTGTATCCCTATCAACATAGGACACCTTGTAAGGAACCTCCAAACGTAACTGATAAGGCGTGCTGAGGGAGGCCGATGAAGAGTTTCTTCATATATTTACCCAGGAACACAGTGTCATTCTGCATGGAAAACGTGATAATTCCCACCTTACAAAACGGGGCAAGCTAGAATGTAGCGATAGAAGTCAAACGAAAGACCCTACAGGGCGTTGCAGAGAATCGACCAAAGAGTACAGACAGCTTCATTGCAGTCGCCTGGTGGCTTGCATTACTAGTGGTAGTAGTGCGTTAGATCCTACCACGTGATCCTATCCAGATTCAACAGCGAAAGTCCCAATATATGTCTCCATCGTTTGAGTGACTGCGTTAGATGGTGTCCTGTTTTACGACTGGTTTTATCTCTTCAACCAATTGCATCCCATAACTTGGTCAGTAAGCCTTTCTCGTCCCTTACGCGGATGCACAAATCACTATGGAACTAGCTGATCATCAAAAGTCTATTCATTATCTGATTGTATTTGACCTCATTTGAGCCGAAGTCACACGGTTAACGATAGCTTAGTCCATTTGCAACTAAAATTCACGTCGTTAATCTTCAAACACCCCCACTATGCTCCGATATTTCCTTTTCAAATTGTATGCGTTTGTCTTGCTTCCTCTACCTCTACGGTTAGCGTCATTTCCCACTTCTTTCTTCCATTTGTCAACCCCAACTCTCAAATGGTTATCTGCAGACCCGTGTTTTATCGCTGCATTGTAAGCGCTATTACGGCATTTTTTATATCGGTGCACTATCCTACACACAAATTGATTCATGCTTGGATAATAGATGCATCGGCCTCATCCTTTTCGCTAGCCTTTATCGCACGCATGCGCTATTCTCCCATATGTGTGCATAAGTTAATCGTAACCCACTAGCAATCATGTGACGTCCTATATTCTTTGCATCCGATCTGCGTCAATTTGTCCCCCACACCATCAAGTTTAGCAGGGTAGGGTCCTGTACGTAAGCAGCCTTCACCTGTCGTTGATCCACGCACTGCGCTCAATTTTACGCATACCATTTTATTGCTTTGCTTATTACCGCTCCAGTTTCATTGTTTGTACCTGCGACCTATTAGCATCCTGACCTCTCACTTGGCCGGTCACGTCAAATGCTCTATATAAACGCATCCAGCTAAGTAGGAAGCACCTATCTAACCGCACGTGAAACGCTTGCAAGCTAATCGCGAGATCGACGGCCCCTTGATCAGCAACCAATAGAGGCATCCGAGATAACAATATATCGAAGTAGTATCAACCCTACAAAGCACGGCATTTAATCTATTTCTAATTCGTTTCTATCTCAGCGTCATAACTTAGCAGCGGAGCTTTAAAACTCCAGTAAGAAGAATCACTCACGATAATGACTATCGTTTTACTGGATGGGGACCCCGGGGCGAGACACAGTGAATTTCATGGAATAGCTTAGCTTGTTTACTCGGACAACCGGTGACGTTCACAGCTTCAGTGTGTAGCTCTTCCAGTCTCAATTCCTCACCAACGAACTTATCGAGTGATTACCACCCGTTCTTAGTTGTTGTCCACTCACACCGCGTCGTATCCTCATTGAACAAAGTTGCGGTCATTGGAACCAATGTGCCTCGTTACCTGAGCCATTTTTGACTTATTAAGCTCAATCAAATCCCTATCAACCGTGGGGCCTATTGACCTTAAGTTGATGGCATAGGTTTCTGTTCTTCTGTGATCAGTTGACTCACATCACATGAAAGAAGTTTGTTCACAAATACACCCATTTGTATACCAATGGGATTTTCACGGGAGACTCCCCTGAAACTTAGCTGAATCTCTTGTTCATGATATTCTTCAACCCAGTGTGCTTCACCAGGTCGTCGAATATTTCAGTTGGTACGATACTCGAGATATCGCAGTATATTCTCATAAGGAAAATGGCTCAAAAAAGAGCCGTATAAGAGTTTTCTGTAATTGATTTTTTTCTAACGTTCACTAAGTATCCACCTACATCCAAGTGTCTAATGTCTGCAGTGGAGTAAAAATGCAGGTTTCACATGTCTGCATCGGGTCTCAGAGGCAAACCACTGTTTGTCACACAATTGCAGAATGCTGTCAGTTTTCAAAAGCAGTTCACTAGGGGCTTCGTTCGGACTGAGCTTCATCAGGCGGACCATGCTTCACTTTTATTGGCGGGTTTCATTGTTTACCTCGGACATTAAACAAATTTGTTCGCAAGGCGAACGGGAGTGAATAGAAATGATTCTGTGTCTTGGACCGTGTGTTAAAGTCTGTCAGCAAATCTGATAACTTGGAGATGGCTGTGGGATTTTTAGACCGCACGTACACATCACTCGTTTGAACGGTCCTCCGCCTCGGTGGTTTCTTAAAAGGGCGATACTTGAGTCCACTGCTCCTTATTTCGTGTGGACTCCCCAAAATAATTGTATCAGAACAGACGGAGCACCATTCAAACGAGAGTTATGTGAATGCTTTGGTCACGACATTTCGCAATCCTCGTGGAGGATCTGATAGGGAAGACCAGAGCAGCTTTTGTGAACCTGCGTCACCTGTGGCGTAGGTGCGACATCAGCTTCTCTCTGATGGGTCGAGTTTACAATGCTGCGGTGCGCTCCATATTACTATATGGATCAGAAACCTGGCCGCTGCGCGCCGAGGACGTCAAGAATTTCACCGTTTGACCATCAATATCTTCGGAGCATTGCCCGAATTTGGTGGAAACACTGGCTCAGCAATGCTGAAGTACGTCGAATGGTGTTCGGGAGAAATAACTCGCCCTCGATAGATGAACTGATCACACTGCATAGGTTGCGCTAGCTTGGCCACGTGCTGCGTATGCCAGTCGACCGACTTCTTCCAAGGGCTCTTTTCGCACAACCACGTGAAGGGTGGAAGAGAGCCAGAGGCGGTCAAACAATGACTTGGCAGCGAAGTATGAAAGTTAATACCAGCAAAGTCAGATGCGCTGGTCACCGCCGTCTTTCTGGATGGGGACCCCGAAAAGGGCCATATCAATGGTTAGTTGCACTGTCAGACATGGCCCAGTCGTGCCCTCAATGGCGCTCATTCATCCAAGCTATTGCTCTCAATGCATAGCTCCCTTCCCAATCCCCCCATTTAACAGTGCTGCATTTACGCACTACTTTATCAGCTCCCGCCTCCAGTGCACAGCTACCTACTTCACCTCCCCGAATCATTGGCGGACGAAATCGTGGCAGCTGCAATCACTGTACGATAAGTACGTTGTTATAACAGCTGACAATGATGATGATGGTGATGAATCTGGGAGACCTGGGTTAGAAGTTGATAATTATGAATGTAGAATGTGTTTAATCTGGAAAGTTTATCCATTACGATAGGATCGTAAAAGTTAGAATAACGTTTGGCTGCTCTTAAGTAGTTAAATTTCCCGGAGAATTTTACCAATTTAATAGTTCACTTCCGCAGTCTTTTCTGATTAATGGTCATTTCTAGTGGTCTGTGTAAAATGGACCAAAGACGTTCAGCGTTTCAAAAAGCCAGTTGTGTTGCGCTACTAATCAACTCTGGCTTGATCCAGACCTGAAGGTAATCACGGTTTGACTTGGTGGTCAAACGGAGAAACTATGATCTGCTCCGTCTAATTCTGATGGTCTCAGTTGGACATCGGGACTACTGTAAAGGAACTCCGTAACTGAGAGCCAAACGTTGCCATGATTTCTTCAGTTTTCTTGTAGATAGGTTCAGTATTTTGACTCTTGTGGTTGAGCTTTTCAATTGTACTTGCATATCATCAGCAGTTGTCGCGTTTACCGCGCACAAGCGTTTCACCCATCGTTGCAATGCTTTTTCCTTCATATGAATTGTCGCTGCACAACCGACCTCAGTCGGTGACATGCTTTCGTAATAATAAGCTCATATTTGGAAATTCCATTTTTTCATTTGTCACGGTTTATCACGTTGCCTTCACGAATCATTCATTCATCTTGTCCAACACGAAGCGGATTCAGTTTACTTCGCTTGTCCTATCTGGGAGTTGTCTTTGGTGTCGCCAAATCGTTGTTCTTTTTTCGTCTTTTGCTTCTAGGAAGGAGCCATATTCAATCAACCTTGGCGTCGTGGTCTCTTCCCAATCACCTATGTACGCTGCATGTCCCAACGGGGTGAAGCACGAAACTGTTAGCGCCACCCCCATTCCTATCGATCTCTTAGCGCCATTGTCCAACAGCTTGGAGCGGTTATTGGGTGACTAGCTTGAGAACTGAATGTGCTCCTCAGTACTGGCTTGCTGTAGAGCCACATCAGACCTTCCCGCTTGGGTCGGGGCAAAGTGACAGATATGCACACATCACGTTCAGAATGAGGCGCACGCATTTACTTTCCTGTTTTGCAGTTTAATTGTCACTATGGATATTATAATTTCTGTTGATTTTTCGACTGTGATCACACTTCGACCCCAATTCCTCCGTACGTCGCTTTTATCCGGCCTGATTAACACTTGCTTTATGAATCAACGTCGTTCTTATCCGCTTATGCCGATCCGTTTTTATCGTTTTCGCGGGTATCCCCACGGTTGCTTCGGTGTTCTTGCCATCGTGTTGTACATTTTATGTCGGTTCTAAATAGACAACATGAGCAGCAGAATGCGTATATGGTAACTCAGCAATTATTTCCTCTTTTTCCTGTTTTCTTTCGCTTTTTCTTTTGTTTTCACCTTTCATACCTGAGACTCTGTACAGAAGGTGGTTTATGGCCGGTCTTCTTGTGCACGTATGTTCTTTTTTGTTGTTGAACAGTGCCCTTACGTAATACCAGTTGTTCCGTTTTTTCCTTCGTTTCTCTGGTTTGGGTAATTAGTTAGGTGTTGCGATTCAGAGACAGTTGGACCTGCATTCTTTGAGTGTTGTTTTGTGATTTAACATCGGGTATAATGGGAGCTTGGTTCCCCCAGTTAGTTCATACTATTCGGATGACTCTTTCCTCCAACTGCGGATCTTTCGCTGACTTTCAGATGAATCGATCGCTGGTTGCAGCGTCCGAAAACTAAGATCTGACCCAATGAGAGGGCTTCATTCGTATGTTAACACGGTTCTGTAACCCAGGACGTTTGTACGTCCAACGAAATTCATTCCTTGTAACCTCAGGTTTCTAATCGTTATTTTGCTCAAGCCCTCACTAGTGTTATGGATGCATGTTTAACTCTGCTGCCGGTAGATAACTCTGAGCAAACTGACTTGGCAGGAAATGCGTCACTGTGCGCTTATGTTGGAAAACTTTAGTTGGCCTGTGAATGAGTGGTGTAGCGATTGCGATGCTCGTAACATGTCTGTCTCGGATTCTATCGAGTCCTGCCCTGCAATTCACCTGGTTCAGACCACGCCGTCTGGGTCTCAGAGTCTCACCCTTTCGATCAGTGCACTGAAGCTTGGACGTAATGACAGGTAAAAACGCCATCATTCTGCTACCGGTCACATGACATGTAGAAAGCACTGGCCGTCGGTAGATTGCCATCAAATTTAACTAACTGTTGCTGAACGAAATCGTCGTAGATGGGACCTCTGACTACTTACTGTACGCCATTCACTGTGGACTTAACTGGGTTTTCGCTGATTCCACAGTATCGAGAACGTCAAATTTGAAAACTAACAGTAAATGTCGATATGTTCTGTTAATTACCTGGAGAGTTTTTTGTTTTGTTTGAATGGATTATCACAGTGCCAGCCCTGTGTATGTATCTCTGGGAAAGATCAACAATAAATTTGAAGTTGTTCACACCCATCCTTCTGCCACCTTACAGGTACACGTTTACAAGCCAGCTTAGGCTGCCTCCCTCGCCCCCGAGCAAGTTGTTCTGAGAACGGTGATTTAATCTTAGCACCGCCACGTTAAAAACATGTGTTTACGTTTTACTATTATATTTTAGGTGGGTCCGACTCGTAGCGTTTTCCTATTATATTTTAGGTGGGTCCGACTCGTACCTCCGTAATGGTGTTCACCCAACCGCGCACTGAAGGTGTCTTTTCGCACGGTGACGAGACTTGTTCAATTCAATTGCCAAGCTGGACGAACAGACCAAATGCCACCTGGTCAAATAACCTAGCCGAGCCACCATTATTTAGGTACATTGGTTTGAAAGAGTATCGGTAGTGTTCGTTTATGAAATCCAGATATTGTTGCAAGTGCATGGACCGTCAAATCAAGTCAACATTAACCTTAGAAATCGCCTGCGGTAAGTATTCTGCGAACAGTTTGACCGACCATGGGAAACCAGTGTTGCGGTGTGTGGTAGTTCTCTTGACCTTGATCTTCGCTTAACGAACAGTTTGACCGACCATGGGAAACCGGTGTTGCGGTGTGTGGTAGTTCTCTTGACCTTGATCTTGCTAATCTATTGGAGGTTGAGTTGGCTCTCATAAGATCAGAATACGAGACAGTGACTTTCAGATAGGACTGTCAACAACCAATTACCATGACATGTCATCACAAACAACAAGGAAATCTGAGAAAGTCCGTTATATTTGGAAATCTGTTCAAAAGAAAGACGAAATCTTTCTAAGATTGAGGGACCAAAGAGGGAGACAATGTAGTTGAGAGGCGTACAGTCACGGGAACGTGGGGAATTTTTAGACTCGAAGAGTGCGAAGTGGGACGTTTTATTCCTTTGGAAACAAACTGAGCGAGTTCAGGCCAGGAAAGACTGCAAGTTAACATCATACCCCAGGGTTTTGAGGACCCGCATACGAGGATAGTCCGGGAACCCACTGTAAAGTTTTGAAAGCAGCTGCGGATTTTGACGAGGGCTACCGAATGAAAGACAGCATGGAACCTCTAGGCGTATTGGTGTATTTAACACTGAATTGTGATCTTGTTTCATGAAGAAAATGGATGGTGATATTAGCGAATGTACACTCATTTGCAAACTAATTTGGTTCTTTCGAGAGACTCACCTGGAACCCAGTTGAATATCTCGTTTAGGATGTTCTCAGGCAACTGAATGTGCTGAACCAGGCCGCCTCATGTTTCAGTCGCTACGATATTTGAAATATCGCGATACATGTATATCTTTGTAATGTACTACTCATAAGGTTGCTGAAAATCCATCGACAGCCCACGACCGGTTTCGACCTACTTGGGGCTCATCAGGTAGGCGCAGTCCCCGGGTTTCCGTCAACCTTATGTTCTACTTGAAACCAAATTGCACAAAATTAGCGAATATACACTCATCTGCAAACTAATTTGGTATGTTCAATTGCAGGATTTTATAGTTTATCAGGTCTTTGGAAACACAAACCCAGTGCACAGTCACGATGAGATGTTTGGCCAAGAAATAACGAAGCCTATAATAGAATGTGTTAATCGTTATTTTCACTGGTACGCTGCATTCATGATAAATCCTGTCTCAGTGTCTTATCGGCGTAGATGAACGTCAGCCCCGCTTAAATTTCTCCCTCCCAGAATTCCATTTGGACACTTCAACAGTTCTCCAAGTTGGCGGTACGGAGGTGTACGTTTGTTGTCTCATAGCTTAGGTACTTTTTAATTCGCCGTGAAAACGACCAGCGAAGAGCACCACGTGCTCTAAACCGTATTTGCGGGGAAATGTATGCTCACACTTTAATATTGCTGTCGAAGTTACTATCCTAGAAACAGCCCCTTCCACGTACCGTTACAATTCGATTCTGGCGTAAACCGTATTTGCGGGGAGATGTATGCTCACACTTTAATATTGCTGTCAAAGTTACTTTCCTAGAAACAGCCCTTTCCACGTACCGTTACAATTCGATTCTGGCCTCTTTTTCGGTAGGAATTATTTCGTTCACTTGGTGTTCCCCAGATGACTTCGAACTACTGGGTTTCGAGACCACAACCGTTTTGAAAAAAACTTGTTCCCTAAACCTATGGCTTGTTAAGTATGAACTGGCTGATTTCGAACACCGAACTGTTGTAAAGATTGGAATCGCGATGGACAATAAAAAGGTCTGCTTAAATATTTTCATGAAGGAAACTGTTCACAAGGTTACTGAAAACTCTTCGACAGCCCACGACCGGTTAGGCCCTTCTTGGGGTTCATCAGGTAGGCTCAGTCCCCGAGTTTCCGTCACCCTTATGTTCTACTTGAAACCAGATTGGACTGTTTTCGAGAAATACACTCAATCGCGAATCAATTTGGTTTTCACGAGAGACTCAATTGAATCTCTCGTTTATGACGTTCTCCAGCTGAATATTGGGCTCCCTCATGATTCAGTTAGCACGATATTCGAGATATCGCAGTATATTTTCATGAAGGAAACTACTCACAAGTTGCTGAAAACTCTTCGCCCTTCTTGGGGCTCATCAGGTAGGCTTGAATACTCCCACACCTTCAAAAAGAACTCAGATGCTGCACAATGACGTTTTCAAAATCTCGCCCTCCTGAATGTTTTTAATCCGGCTTATCCCTCCATTCAAGTTTATTTTTGAAACAGAAATAAATTATGCATTCCACTTGTTGGACGTTCAATTATTCCGACCATCGACAGGTTCAGTTCAGTGGTCTGTTTATAAAAGCCCATATGAACGGAGTACCACACGGACTTTTACAGTTTCGTGTCATTGAGGCAGAAACCAACTCCGATTTAAACTTTAACGAATCTGCTCTGCGAATATACTGGACTCCGAAATGAAGCACATCGCTAACGTACTCAGAACGTACTCATCCAGAGAGGCTTATAGGAAATGTACCGGAACATTTGCAGCTCTGGTGTGTGCGTTCGCGGTTGGTCAGGTAGCCGTTGAGCTGTTTGCTGATCTGGGCAAGTAGCTTGGACTTACACATCTAGGTGACTACAGCACGGGGTTGGGTGGATTTGCAAACTAACTGTTAGGCTCGGCGAACAGATCAACCACCAAATGGAGGGGTATAGCCAAGGATGCATCTGAATGCCCTATCCAGTCATTTGTCATTAACGTTACTAAGAAGCAAGTCTCCCTGTTGGCAGACGCACTCAATGGCTGCTTAGTCCAGTTGCTACAATGTACGTTTCCGGTTGAAACTTTGCGTTCTTGGTTTTCGTGACAAACTCTGCTGAACTCTGAGACGAGATAATGGTCTTCATTCAGGGTAAAGCTGTATATCCCTTATCCCGTTCTCGTTTCTCTTATCGAAACGTCACTAGACCGAAGGGCTCGGTTGCATCACAGCTTATTGACACCGGTTGCGTGATCAATTCAAACGCGTCGTTTCTTATTACCAGCTGAGTGTCTTGTGGACAGACAGTGTCGATCCAATGGCGTTGGTTCAACTCAGTAAAAATAGTCAGTATACTACTGCCAAATCCTTTACTACACTGTCAAGAGCCACGGGCTGAGTCTGCCCTAGTCACATGACACCATCTGTCCAGTCGCTCAACGGCCCTGTAGACCACCGTACAGCATCCATTTAATGAGATTTGAGTTTCACGGACAACCAACTGTCTAAGCCGACGACGGGATCCAAAAACTTTAACGCTCGTCACTTTCTGTTCCTGTTGAAAGAGGACTATTGCTATCGCACTACTACAGGCGGACCAAATGAACTATTGATTGTCCTGTAGACTAGATAGGCATTCGATTGGTCGCGTCAAATACTTTTTATCACCAGACTAGAAAACTCAGTCAGATCGCGTGCTGTCTATTTTGAGAGAATGCATCTTTCGCCGGTACTGTGAGATATCACGTCAGTAAACTTATCTTAATTCACTGGAAATTTGTGTTCCAAAGCAACTGACATATAAAATATGTCTCCAAATCTCAACAATCTTTTCCTTACAAAGTGATGAGACAAGGTAAACTGACAGACAGAGATAATATCAAGAGGCTCACAGTAGAGGCATCACTATAAACGTATCCTAAGTAGACAGTTCTATCCCCTATACACACGCACACAATGGACCGAAAACTAAAAGACACCGAAGGAAACAGGGCATTACGAGTGGTGAAAAAACTGAAAATATGGTATGTTCCAGGCCCTAGTACCTGTCTGTAAGGTCGAGTCCGACATAGCTTGTACACATAGTATCAGGGCACTCTAACCAGCATACGTGACCCGCTCTTTTCCGCCTTGCTTCTTTCTGGTAGTATACTTTTTTCAGATAATATAACGGATTTTCCGGTCATCTCAGATGGTGGAAAACTGGCTCACAATTCTGTCTGGTGTACCGGTATACAAATGTCCACCTTGGGAGATCGAGAACATTTACGGGATTCGTTCCTGCATGGACCATCAACGTGAGGAACTATGTAGCGACATATATTTACTAGAAAATCGCCCACATATAGCCACTCAAAGCCGTCTGAGTGCTGCTCAGTCAGGCTATCCAGATTGGTTATGGTCAACCTTGCGGCTTACTGTGATATGTCTCGACCACTGGTGCTCCCAAAAAACCGTAGTCGACATTTCCCATTGGGCTGTAGGTGACAAATGAATTTGGGCTCTTGGTAGCTGCCTGCCATCAAACCAGGATAAATGGCGCTGCGATCTGATATACCTGTCAAGTCAGTACAAAAATAGGCTCGAGAAGTAGATGCTGAGTTGACATTCCGGATTTAAGATTACCGTTGAACTGAGATACTGGCAACAGAGCTTTGATGGTCAGCGGATGACACAACATATAAACAGCTGGTTCAGGGGTTTCCAACCTCAAACACTTAGATATCTGGCTACGAAGACACCACTGACAACAAACACATAGCATTTGGTCCTCATATTTACAACCGCTGGAATTCCTGCATTCTCTGTCAAGGTATCCAAATGGCCGATTAGATAAGAGTTACAGCCCTTCGTTTCCCAAATCATCTCGCGCCATAAACAATCTCGAAAACGTTCTCACGCTTGGATACCCATTGAGTTTGGCGAAAGTAATCGATTACCGCTGGCTGACACTAGCAATCCCCACCCAAACCATACAATTCTGATAAACCCATCTGCTTTTAAAATCGTACAAACAGCTTTATTGACTATATTCATCATCACCATCATCATCCTTGTCGGCTGTAATAACCGCTTGCTTGTCGTACAGTGATTGCAGCTGCAACAGTTTCGTTCACCGATGATTCGGAGAGGTGAGGTAGGTAGCTGCGCATTGGAGACGAGAGCTGATAAATTGGTGCGTAAATGCAGCACTGTAGGTGGACTATTAAGTGGAGGAATTGGGGAATTGGAGGAAGGGAGCGATGTATTGAAGGCAATAGCTTGGATGCATGAGCACCACCGAGGGCGCGACTGGGGCCGTCTCACAATGTCTCTAACCATTGATATGGCCCGTCTCGGGGTCCCCATCCAGGAAGACGGCACTGACCAGCGCAGCTGAGTTTGCTGGTAATGGCTTTTATAGTACGCTGCCAATGTCATTGTTTGACCGCATCTGGCGGTCAAGGCAATTCTTGTTCGACATCACTACTCATGTTGTCATTCATTTTTAAAAATAACGGACCAATTTTTAAAATATTCCATATTTTTTCAAACACATTCCCAGTCGGACAGTCTTTTCATAACCGTGTAAAAAGTCGTGGAATCCCTAAAGAGCTCTGTGTCTTCTAACTCCAACCGGCCAAATGCGCAGTTTCACTGAATTTCGGGGATTGAGGATACTAGGGAATTCGGTCAAATAGGTTTAGCTGTCTGCGTAAAGGCGGCAAATTTTTCCTGATGAAAGTCATACCGTATTGGTTAGAGACTTACATTTTCACTAAACTTCGGGATTGAACAGAGAGGGAGAGGGGTAAAATTTTAGTAAAATCACATCAACAGAAGACGTTTTCATCTTGATTTTACTACTTCTGCGATGCTGATATAAAAGCAGCTTGGTCGTTAGGACGACCGGATGAGGAAAATGGAAGCTAGATTTCATAGGCATTGCTCTGTAACTCTTTATGGTGACAGAAAAAATGTTCCTATGGACTGGTACCTTGAAGCCCTGTCGATTACACGATCTACGTCAGGTTTTTTTCAATTATGATGTTCTAACAAATCGAGGAGCTTCTCTGATTCCACATCAAGAACTCTTTCGAATCATGAGTCCCTCTGTAATGGGAGTGAAGCAGTTGAAGTGATCTGATTCGGTCGCTCCTCCAAAGTGTGCGTAAAAGCTACCTCGAAATACTGAAACAAACTCATACAAGGAGCATTTGGTTTGAAAGTTACTCAAGTTAGACAGCGTTTGATGGCCACATAGAAGGGAAATGGGATACGTCATCTTTGCGAGTACAGTTTATCTTTCCCCCTGAAGTAACTACACGCACGGCGATCATGAAATCCGTCATTCTGTGCAGGACAGACTCAAACTGGCCTGAGACCACTAACAGAGTGCCAGGCACTACGACTAGAGAGGAATTCATTTTGATCTGTGTGATAATGTCTGTCTGCGGAGGGTTATAGCATGAAAGTTTATGCATGTGAAAAGCGTGTTTCTGCCGAGGATCAGATAAGCTGTTAGAAATCGCTACATTCATAGCAAGTCTCCAGAGAGCGTGACTGCGTTCTGTGAATGATTCAAAAAGTCTTAGTGGTGTTCAATACTCAGATATGTTTGATACGCATGAGGGAATTGGTTGCGCAAATATGTGGACTGATGACTTAGCGCTTCATTGAGTTTGGCAAGTGTATTGCAAACAGTTCGTATTGATTCGTAGACGTTGAGGTAGGTTGTAGCCGCGTGTAAACAGATTCTGCTGGTCGGAGACCACCAGTGAGTACGATTGATTTTTTTGGGAGGGGGGGGGGGGAACAGCCCATTTGTTTGACTGACTGACTAGTTAGCATACAGACCACTTTTGTGCTTCATCTCTCGGCAACGAAACCGGGAGATTTTGCTCTGTTGGTTATACCGTAACGCTACCGTTTACAAGGTTCCGTTTGTGTTGATAATCATTTGCTCGGAAGGCTGAACATCTAGATTTTGGTTGATTGAGTATGTTCTAGAATATTCTATCTCCTTCAGTCACTGTGCATTCAAGCGACAAGGTCTTCAGTTTTTCAAGATTACGTCGATGACTATTGATTTTCATACACGGAGTTAGTGACGGCGGGTTTCGCCTTGCTACGGCCGCTTCATGCCCATTTCTTCTTACGAACACTTTTCTGATGTATACAATTTCATCTTTGCTATTTTTTGTATTTTATCTAGTAAAAGACAATGTATGATCCTCTTCTTTCAATTTGCCCTTCTAAGGATAGGTTTGTGTGCCATGATTGTAAAAAATCTTGAGGTTTCGACAACTGGATTTTCACGGGAGACTCTCTTGCCTATGATATTCGTCAACTGAATGTGCTGCACAGAAGGGGCCTCATGTTTCATTCGAGGTATTGAAGCGCTTTTTTCATTAAGAGGTTCGGCAATGAATCTCGATATTGCTGTTTCAACAGAAGTCCCTTTCATTGGCTAGTACACTTGGTTCAGCTGTAGCACCCTTTCGGTGCCTGTCATGCCACACGAAGGTTCCACGAAGGCTGGAATACTGCCAGGTCGCCCAAGACTAGACAGAGGTCGGTTTCGAACCACGGACATTCCGGTTAGTAAATTCGCGCCCTAACCACTTGGGCCATCTCGCGCTTCTAGTATACTTACCCATCAAATATGAAGTACGTGCCAAGCTGACTCAAGGTCGTGCAAATTTATCGTTTCTGCTGTGTTCAATTGATTAAGAAACAGTAGTCATATATGTCCGACTGACCGATGAGCAGCATATTCATACCGAAGGATAACGTCCGTTGTCTCCTACCTTGGCTTATCCGTGTGAGCTCACCACTAGCACTATGCTTGCTTCAGAGCATATGAGTCGATTGGAGGCAACATGCACTAATGATCATCTGACCCAGTTCCACCGGTGTATTTTGATACCCAAGAGATTGCACTTGTGATCTGTACCCTATCCTGAAAAGCAGAGGGACGTCTGTTGTTGGTGCAATGATGGGTGCGCCAAACGCAGGTAAACACCTGGGCATATTCGTAAGGAAACTCAACTTGCAGATTGGGTGATCAGATGAGCGAATTATCCTACTTTTGAAGATGCAGTGTGGAGTCACAACATCAAGACACAACAACTCGTTCCACCACGACAACAAAAAGAATATGAAAGGATTTTATCGGTTCAAGTCAGTTTATTATAAGATATGAAGAGGCAAGGAAATATAGCTTGAATAGAAGAGAAAGAAAGGCACGGTCTATCAGGCACCGAGTGACTATGAGGAAGGAAAAGACGAATCCAGTCAAACAAACTTTTGAGCACCTAGAATTGTATACAGATGTTTTCAACATCTTCCTCGGATTCCGAAAGTCAGTCAATGAGTGTAAGCAGCGAACGAACGTGGAGGTTAAAAACAACAACAAGGTCAACTTCGCATTTCTGTTTTCAAATAAGAAGCATTTCAGTCCACTGGAGAACTCGGGGATAAGTGGAACAGTAAACGTATCAGACACTGGGTTCAGTGGTTGTCGGTACTATAGATGTTTCGGGATCTGACAAGGTAGTCGAATCAGGTTCTGCTTGCGTGTCAGACTTACACGAGTTCGATGATGATTTGGCTGTGGCAAGTTTCTGTTCTAACAAAGTAATCGTTCCAAGGACTTGTTTTATCGCCTCCCGCCGTTTATTTCGCACATCTTCGTCGCCATCAGCCTCGATCTGGTCAATTTTGGAAACTAATTTGTCCAGTCGATCCTCGAGATAGATGTATTGTTTATCTTTTTCGGGTGCTGCAAAAAAGAATGAGATTAGAACACACTACTGACGATATGGAGTGAAAAGCAGTACGGCCTGGTCAGTCAGTGTAGACACCTGAGGCGGATCGGGAGTGCCTAAAGTTGGACGAAGGAAGTTGAGATAAACTTGTTTGTCTGCAGATGTTATCTGTCTAGTGTCTTCGTCACAGCAAGTCTGAATGCAATTATATATATAAAACTGCATACAAGCAAGCACTTCATTCCGTCATTTTATCCTGTACACCATGACCCGTTCGGCGCAACATTCAGTAAGACGCTTGTGAACTATGTATGGTGAGCTGGCATCTGCTTCTGGATTTACTAGATTTACTTCTTCAACGGAACTCCGCGCAAAGTAGATAATATCACGTGTGGTTTGTGGTGAGCCACATTCACAACTGAATGAATCTGCAGTACCCGGTAGACAACCGAGCAAACAAGGCCCGAGAGTGAGGGACAGCTCTGAGGCTATCAACCATCCCATGATAATAAATATATAAAATTGTTCAGCTGTAGCACCCTTTTGGTGTCTAGCAGCCATGCCACCCGAAGGAAGCACGAGGGCCGGGATACTGCCAGGTTGCCCAAGCTTAGACAGGGGAAGTCGAGAGGCGGAGGTCGAATTCGAACCACGGACCATCCGGTCAGTAACTTCGCGCTTTAACAACTTTAACAAGCCATCTCGCCCCTAACCCATGATTGTCAAATGAAACGCAAGCAGCTGAGACCCACTGTTCATGGGAAAAGCCTGCATCACTCATAAGATGCACCTAGGGCAGAGACTTCGAAACAAAAATAGTGGATTGGCCTCGGTTTCCGGGTTGGCTTGTCAAACTGAACGAAATCAATAGACATTCGCATACCATAGGTAAGACCACAACCGTGTATCCACTTGAATGCTCTGTACCCGAGGGAATAAGACCAGAAGAAACAGGTTGGGGACTTCCTAAAGCCAACTAAAGGTCGATAGTTGTCAATTCAGAAGCGAGATTTAAGGCGGAAGGAGAACCGATGAGCTTAGTCAAGCTAGATCTGTGTTCGGTGTTTGCCAAGGGATTCTGTGTATTAGTGTGGGTCACCAAGTGTTAAGGTGATGGGGAAACCTACACGGATTTGGGTCCAGCTTAAGATCTAGTTCTTCCGGATCGGTTTACGTGATGACCCCTCTTGAATGTCGTTTACGCTTTTCGTGTGTCTGCGTGGATGAGCTAGTGCTCAACCCAACTTTGGTCGCGTTGGAATTTCCACCCCCTTTCCCCTGTCTTTGCTAATGATTCTACATGCATTGACGACCGTAAACAGTTACGTGTCAACTCGGCTTATCTAAGACCGCCTTCAATAAGCTCGCCAGTTCCACACTCTCGATTCTGTTCGTGCTGTGATGCTTGTTTGTTTCCGCCGCCTCGGCTATCAGCAGCTGTGGCGTGAATCACAGTCCCCGTCTTAAAAGTTCCGCATTCTCCAGATCTATTCTATGTCCTATGTCCAACACATGTACCGCCATAGCTGAGCCTTCGAGCAGCATTTGGTACTCCTCCGTATTCCTTGGTGGTTTGTTTATCCTCATTTTATGCCCAGAATTTATGGTGTGCAATTCCCTGGCAGTTCGTCAATCAGTGGATCAAACCAACGAGGAGTTGTGCAGTCTGTCTTGATGAAAAACACTGAAGCAAATGGAGGCGGTTCACTTCTGATGAACAGCTTGTAGAGTCGTAGTTTGTATGGAACTGCAGAGAAAACAGTGGTATATTGCGAAAGCATGGAGACTAATGGCACTGTTTCGAAAACTAGTTGGTTCACACACAAACAGATAGCAAAAGAGAGTGATAGATCTGTGACCTAAAGGGCGCTAAACGAACAAATACTCACATGCAAATGCATCAACCTCTGGTTTAAGGAGTTCCAACTCATCCAGGGCCTTTGAAATCAAGTCATACGAGGTGACCGGAGGTGGTTGTGGCTTATCTGCAGCAGAACTGGTGGGCGCTTCAGTCGGGTCTTTTGTGGATTGCTTCAGTTTGTCTACGCTGACCGTTGGAAGTTGAGTTGGAAGCGAGTAGTAGGGTAAGGGAATCGGTTCAAAAGAGGGAACGGTCTGGACAGGACGAAAAGATAAAGACAAGAAAGATAAGATACACAGTAGACGCATTCACATCTGAAGGAGAACACAGGCAGATGCTTGACAACGACGAGTACACGACAATGATACTAACTAACTCATGTGTAGCCCCCTCTGACCCAGCCCACGGGTCAGAGGGAACACTCCCAGATATCCCTTTAGACAGATTCCCTGCCATCATTCTAAATTGTCTAACATAATGCGATCAAAGCTACCTAAGAAAAACACAAAACGGTAATGCCCAGGAGATACCACCGTTGTGGTGTGGGGAGTGAACGTTTGGGTTTCTCGTGGGCGACGGCCTTCCGGACGGACTTACCTCCGAGACGATGTCACGTTGTATTGTATTCACCGCAGCCCATAAACAAAAAAGTGTACTGCGATACTATATGTACTATACTA